TACTAGACTCTAACCATCCATCCCAACCCGAACATCTCATCCGTTCATGAAAATCTCCATCGGCATATTCCACCGACGAATCCCGAACTACATATGGTCTGATTCGTGTAAGACATGGATATATAGGTAGCTCAGGAACCAGAGCACGATCAAGTTCTTCAAATAGTTTCGTTCGGTCAAATTGGTCATCATATCTTTACCCAACAACTCTTTCATCTTTCCCGGGTAAAGAGGGGCAATTGTTGACACCCAATTTTTCCGTATGTATTTTTATATGCAAATACTTTCAAAATAGCATATATATGCATATATAAGTATGTCCAAGTGTTTCAATAGTTTTCCTAATTTCTAAAAGATTTTAAACTGATTTATTGCCCATTTTAGCTACACGAAAATCAATAATTATTTCCAAAATTATTATTTTCGTGAATAACTTACTTTATTATCATATTTATACCAAAATATAGCTAGTGTAATTTATATACATTTTTTACAAATTTATTTGGTATTTTAAAAGCTAAATTGCATATAATTGCAATTTTAGTCTATTTTAAGACTAATAGCATTTTATAATTATGAAATTTGTTCCAATATTTTTAAATTAATATTTATAATATTATTAACTGATCAAGTAATTTTAATTTTCTTTCAAAGTCATTTTTACTATTTTTATAAAATAGAAAGGAAAAAACTGGTTATTTAAAATCTGACCCATTTTTTATTTCAATTATAGCCAAATTTGATCCCCTTAATTGACGCAATTTGAAGTCCAATTTTAGAACAGCCAATTTAAATTTAACCCGCCCCTAACCCAACTAATTTAACCCGCCCGACCTTCCCTCTTGATACAGGCCGTTGATCATTTTGATCAACGACCACGATTTTCCCTTTCCTTTTTAATTCACAAACACTACCCTAATCCCCTCATTTCTTATCAACCGCCACCTCTGAACTCTCAAACACTCTCAAATACTCTCGAACCTTCCCTAATCCTAGCCCAGTCTCACCGTCTTTCACCATAAACTCACTGGAATCCATGGCTTCTCAGGCCATGGGAGTCTTAAACTCACCTCCCTTTGCTCTTGTACACTTGGTACTTGAAGATTCGGGGCCTGACCTCGAAGGTTCTCACTCAAATCTTTGCCGGCTCGAGGTTTCACGGCCATCTCCAGCTTTGTTCCGGTGTATCCTGGTCTTATGAGCCTATTTTTGACTTCTCTGACTCGGATCGGAGACCTTTTCAAAGCCTTTCTCATTCTAGGGTTCTTCTGAAACCCTAACCCTTCGAGGTTTTCTCCAATTTTTCTTAGATCTGTTATATATCTATGCTTTACTTGGGTTTTCAAGACATTTCCCCAATTTCTTCTTTCAAAATTTTTTTTTAAGGTCTTTCTTTTCCGATCTAGGGTTTTCTAAAATGTTTAAGTGATTTATGACTTTCCTTTTCCTTTATGTGTACTTGCTCCTACTGTGTTCTTGTATTCTTCATTTTATCATGCTCTTGTATGACTATTTTAATGTGTTCTTCTATATGTGCTTTTCTTCTATAATTTTCTGATGTTTTTGTGTTCTTCTATTGTACTTTCCTACTAAGTTCTTAAAGTTCTTTGTTTGCCTTCTACTGAACCTTGTTTAAGTTCCTTTTAGAAAAACTCCTTAAGCATGTTTCTTCTACTATTCTTACCAGTATTTCCATTATGTTCTGTGAATCTCTCTACTGTATTTTTCTACTGTGTTCTTAAGTGTGCTTACTACTTTTCTTCTATTGAAATTTGTTTGAGTTCTTCTAAAAGAACCTCTTAAGCATGTTTCCTCTGCTATTCTTATCAGTATTTTCCATTCTATCCTCTAAATTCTACTACTGTTTGCATGTTACTTTGCTATCATATTCTCTCATGAGTTCTGAAAGAAGCATGTTAGAAGCTTCAATTCTCATCTGAAACCTCTACACATGTCTCGACTTAACTTGCTTGCCCTCTCCTTTATGTTTTCTGGTTTGTTAGAACTAGAGCTTTATTTCAAAGACCTCTTAGCTCTTTCAGACTGGTTTTAACCCTCTGAATGAGTTTGGATATATTTGTTTTCATATAATGTTGAACCTTTTCTTTCTACTGATTTTACAAAGGAATGACAGTTCTTTCTTGTTTAAGCATGTTTGTATGCTTTTATATGTGTGTTGAACCTTTCTTCAAAAGGCTTTCCAACTTATGATTGATTCAAATCTTTTTTTTAGGATTGATTGATTGTTACTGATTTTCCTTAAGTAAAATATTTCCTCACTTTACCTGACTTGGTTCATTCGTACAAAGCCTTCAATTTTGATTTCTTGGTTGTTAACTGATTTCCTTTCCTCACTTGCGCAAACTGTGTGCTATCAGTTTTTTTTCCTTAAATAAATCTCTGTGTATTTACCCTTCTTGTACTGCTTTGGAAAAGGTTTTGATCAATCCCTTTCCTTAATTAGTTTTGGCCGGTTGAAATTAGAATCCCTTAATCAAAAGGAAATTTTTGTAATTGATTTTCAAATCATTCTCCTACCTTATTCTGCTTGCCTTTTACACTATAAAAGGGAAATACCCTTATGCACTTTAACACACTCTCAATTTAACACTCTTATACTACTCAAGTATCATAGTTCTCTAATCATAGCATTCTGACTATTTGCTTGCACTTTAGCTTCACAAGACTACTGCTTTCTTTTCTTGTTTCCTGAAACTGGTATGTTCTAGTTTGATTTCCAGCCTCATCCCAATGTGTTTATTTTACAGCTTCTATATCCCTGTCTGCTTTACTGCCTATGTTTAATGTTAATTTCTTTTACTTGTTTCTGCTATGAATCCCTATACCCCTATTCCCCTCTAAGTGATTTGAGTTGTAGTTCATGACATGACAATATGCAGGTAATTGTTCATGTCTGGACTTGATCCCTTAGAGGATCCTGACTCCCCAAACAATGTGTTCTAACAGGCTTGTGGGGTGTGTCAGCACTTCCCATTGCTTGGTATGCCCACTAGCCTGTCCTTGTTTCTCTTCCACTTCCCCTTTCCCCTTTTCAAACTCTGCACTTACACTTACTTTTAGTTCTAAGCTATGCCCCCCTCCTGTAAGCCTTGCCTTGGGACCTTAAGTTCCCTCTGAACTTGGATAATCGAGGGCTGGCCCTTCTACACTGCACTATGTTCTTAATACTGTATGTGTTTGGGTGTGAGCACTGCCCGGAGTCCATTTGAGGCTCTTGGGGAACTCTAACACATCCAAATAAGAGAAAGGCTTTGGTTCATGATCTCTTGAAGTTGGTTCATCTCATATTTCAGACCTAGAGTCTGAATTAGGCTCCTTTTGGTTGTACTTTAATTTCTGATGTAAATTTGCTTTTCTTATTCATTCTGGACTATAGTAATTTGTAATAACTATTGGGGCTGTTAGTGAAAAAAGGGAGGGTAAATCATGTATGCACTAGGGGTAGATATCATGTTCATAGGTATTTATTATACTTCTGCAATCATGTCCTGCTTTCACTTCTGCGTTTTCATATAGATATCCTGTTTATAGGTTCTGCATTTTCATATAGAAATCCTATTTATAGGTTCTGCATTTTCATATAGAAAACATGTCTATAGGTTCTACATTTCATAACGTTGCATATCATATAGATAACCTGTCTATAGGACTTCTTAAATTCTGCATATGCATCTATCACTAGGCAAACATGTTCACAAGTTTTAATAACAAACAACTTTTGAGATACCATGCCTATAGGACTCCTGCATTTTTATTTCGACTATAAATGTTTTTAAATCTATAACACTTAGAAAGCATGCCTATAGGGGTAATCAACCAAATCTGAATCACCTCGCTCGTTCTAAGTTTAATCTGCAGAACTTGGTAAAAAACTGGCAACCTTTCTATAATCAGTTTACGTCTTTGTTTCTTTGACTAATAGATAGCATGCCTATAGGTTTCGCCTAACACCTAGGCAAGCTTTAGGGTAAAACCTATAACTGTGCCAGTCTTTGATAATTACAACCAGCGGGCAGGCCTAATTAGGACTTCTTATCTGAAAATATGTGATAAATCAGTCTGCTTTAACATTTTTTTAGTTTAATTCAGACCATAACCAGTACATGTAAGACATGCTAAACAATATGTCTTTAAGTTGAGGAGTCTTGTTTGAGCCTTTTAATGTTATGTATTTTCCCATATCTGCCATATGTGTTTTGGTTGTCGCCCTAGATTTTGTCTTTTAAACCATAAAAGCCCAATCTCCCTTCCCTTTAGGACTAGTAGTCCCAAATGCCTTCGGGACTGATAGGATTGGGATGGGTAAGAGCGTGCAATAAGTAATGAAACTATTCCGCGTTTTAATACCTTAATAGGGTGGGAAATGATAGATATGGATATGATGACCGGTGCGCTAATACCACGTTCAACCCCTCTTATGAGGAGTGATTACTGGGTATTGCATTGATGTGATCCATATTATTTGTAAACCTAGGACTCCCTTCCATTTACTTGTGTATTTTATTACTTTTTCAGAATTTTCAAACTATTTCCTCAAAATTTCTGCTTTCTTTGTTTCTTCAAACTTTAATTTATTTGCAGCCATAATGTGACAATTCCTTATATTGAAACCTTTATTTGATTACTTGTTACTAGAACTTAAAGTCACAATTGTAGCCTGGCCGGGAACCACACTAGTGGATCTTGAGGGGTGCCTAGCACCTTCCCCTTGGGATAATTTGTAGCCCTTACCCAATCTCTGGTTTTCTAGATCAATTCCTTCCTAGTGTCCTAATGCACTTTAATCATTAGGTGGCGACTCTTCAAAATGCAAACCCAATTCTCAAAAGGGAACGAGTTGTCCTCCCAAATATCATAAATCCGATTTCACGAGAAAAGGGGGGCACGAATGGCACCAGACACCGCTGTCAGGCAAGCCAACCAAAATACTTAATTAAATTCTCATTTTAATAATTTTGAAAACTATGATTTTCCTTCGATTTTACTAGTAAAAGATAATCATTTCAAATTGAATATGAATGTTAAGTAGTTAATACAAGATAACCCATAATCATCCCAGAATCCGGTGTCACAAGTGCATGAGCATTTACTAGGAAATGACATAAACCACAGTAATTGTCCGAAATACAAGTGGACAAAAATGAAAATACAGTACAATAATGTGAAGGAGACTCTGCTGGTTGCGGGTCATCTCGATAATTGTAGCTCACCCAAGTCTCCATATCAACCATGCCTCTATGCCACTAAGCCACTAGCCACATATGAACCTGTGCAACAAAAATGCATAGCAATTGTACTATGAGTACGAAAACAACATGTAGCCAATGAGTATCCCGTCTAATCTCGAAGAAGTAGAAACGAAGGTCGACTTCGACACTTTCTGGTAGTCTAATAGTAATATTATTAATGCGATGAATCATGGATTTATTAAGAACAACAGTAAATTCAAATATGTCACGAAATAGGTAAGAATTCCTTTTTATTAAAAGTCTCCGGATTCATAATCCATTAATTAACAATTATCTCAAGTTAGGGAGAGCAAATATCAATATCAATAACTCTCAAGGCAAGCAATACAAGCATGCGCAAATCATGCCGAGGTCGTACGACCCGATCCAACATAAATGTAAAATGTGCACTGTCGAAGGTCGAGCGGTGCGAACCATAGATGCATATATTACCCCGCTCGCGAATCATACATGCGACGTGGTCAAATTTAAATAAACAATCACCCTGCTCGCGAATCATACATGTGACGCATGTACACATAGAAATACATGCTCAAACAGCCAATTAAGAATTTATCGAGGAACATTTATCCAAATAAAAGCCAATTCATTTTTTTAACGATTCAAGAAAATAAAGTTTAATCCTTTTAGAAATTCATTTAACAATTCGATAGGATTTAAGCAACTCACCTGCCAACAAGATTTCAGATATTCCAAGTATAGCATGCTTTTAGGTCCTAGACAACCCGGACCTACACATAATAGTAGCTACGCACGGACTCTCATCACCTCGTGCATATGTAGCCCCCACAAATAGGAGCACATAACCAATTATATCACATATGGGGACAATTCCCTCTTACAAGTTTAGAAAGGAGACTCACCTCGGTCCAAAATTTCCATAACCGGCTTTCAAGCCCTTCCAACGACTCCAATTGATGCACAACGCCCAAAAACTATTCAAATAACGGGCAAACCAATAAAAATTCACTCTAATACTTGTAAAAATTCAAATTATATTAGTTCCCAACTCCGCTCAAAAAGTTGACCAAAATGCCCTCGGGCCCACGTGCCCGGATTCCGAAATTTCTCGAAGATAAATTCTACCCATAGCTTTACTAACTCAAATATACAATTTGCTCAAATTTTTATGCTCAAATTCAAGGTAAAAGTCCAAAATACAAAATTCTAGGTCTTTCCCAAAAATCCCAAATTTTTACTAATTTTCCATGTCTAAATCCATGTAAGATCGCATATTTAACTCAAAAATAGGAAGAAATCACTCACCTAGTGTTGCTTGGTGAAAATCTCTCCTTGAGCTCTCCAAAATCACCCAAGCCAAATGAAAGAAATGGGCCAAAACTCGTGTTTAAAATAATCTGTCCAGGCTTCATCGAGTTGTACCTTGTGTTGTGCAGGTTGTACATCCTATTACCATTTTTCCCTGTTGTACACCTTCTGTTAAAATGCTCATAGCTCCTTGTGGAAATATCTAAATGACAAACGGTTAATTGATATAGAAACTAGACTCGAAGATCTTTCATATGATAGGTTGTATACCATATAAATCTATATATATTCCGAGATATGAGCTTCTAAAGTCGGCTCCATGCATCAGAAAATTCTATCGAAACTGCTCCACCAGCCATCTTCAATTGATCATACTTTTCTGATAAAATGTCCAAATCATTAATGGTTTAACTTTCTGGAAACTATAATGCAAGGAAAACAAATTTTGCGTTCTGCAAATTTTCAGATTCCTTATAGAGTTCGAGATATAATCTTCCAAAGTAGCCTCCTCGATTGCACCATTGTTGTCCAAAACAGCAGCTGCAGCAGAAAAAGAAGCAGCTTAAAATTTCCAAAATCGATCCGTTAGCCTTCCGAAATCCAATCGAGACCCTCAGGACTTCAACCAATTATACCAACATGTCCCAAAATACAATACGAACATAGCCGAGGCATTAAATCACATCAAACGACGTCGAAATCATGAATCGTACTCAAATCCAAACTTTATGAACTTAGAAATTTCAAACTTCTACATTCGATGCCGAAACACGTCTGATTGACCTCAAATTTTGCACACAAGTCATATTCGACATTACAGACCAGCTCCAACTTTCGAAATTAGAATCCGACCCCGATATCAAAAAAGTCAAACTCTCGGTCAAACTTCTCAAAAACCTTCAAATTTCTATCTTTAGCTAAATGACTTCAAAATGACCTACGGACCTCCGAATTCACTTCTGATCGTGCTCCCAACTCCAGAATCACCATACAGAGCTATTCCTAGACTCGGAATCCCAAACGGACATTGATAACCCTGAAATGCACTTCAACCCAAACTTAAGAAATTCCTCCAAAATGCTAACTTCCACAATAGGCGCCAAAATATTCCCGGGTCTTCCAAAACCCAATCTGGACATACGCCCAAGTCCGAAATTATCATACAAACCTTCTAGAACCTTCGAATCCCGATTCCGAGGACGTTTACTCAAAAATCCAATCATAGCTAATTCTTTCAACTTAAAGCTTCCGAAATGAGATTTCTCTTTCCAAATTAACTCTGAACTCCATGAAATTCAATTCCAACCACGTGTGTAAGTCATAATACCTGAAATGAAGCTGCTCATGGCCTCAAACTGCTGAATGGCACGCTAGAGCTTAAAATGACCGATCGGGTCGTTACATGTTTATTCCAATAAAAATTCTCTTTTAATGATTTAAGAAAAATAAAATTTAATCCTTTTAGAAATTCATTTACTAATTCGATAGGATTTAAGCAATTTAAATGTCAGTAAGATTACAAATATTCCAAGTATAGCATGCTTTTGGGTCCTATACTACCAGGACTTAAACATAATAGTAGCTACGCACGGACTCTCGTCACCTCGTGCGTACGTAGACCCCCACAAATAGGAGCACATAACCAATTATTTCACCTATGGGACAATTCCCTCTTACAAGGTTAGAAAGGAGACTCACCTCGCTCCGAAGATCCATAACCGACATTTCCACTCTTCCGAAGACTCGAATAGATGCACAATGCTCCAAAACTAGCCAATAATTATGAAAATCCATTAATATATGTTCAATTACTCATTACAATCCAATTTATAACAATTCCTAACCCCGATCGAAAAGTTGACAAAATTGCCCTCGGGCCCACGTGCCCGGATTCTGAAATTTTTTGAAGATTAAGTTTACTCATAGCCTCACGAACTCAAATATATAATTAACTCTCAATCCCATACCCAAATTCGTGGTGAAAATTCAAGAATATCAAATTTCTAGGTCTTCCTCAAAACCCCAAATTTCTACAAATTTCCTTGTCTAAATCCATATATAAACCTTGTATTTACTCAAAAGACTAGAGAGATTGCTCTGATGGTAAGCAACCTCCACTTCCAACCAAAATGTTGTGAGTTCGAGTCTCCCCAAGAGCAAGGTGGGAAGTTCTTGGAGGGAAGGATGTCGGGGGTCTATTTGGATACAGCCTCTCTACCCCAGGGTAGGGGTAAGGTCTGCGTACACACTACTCTCCCCAGACCCTACTAAGTGGGATTACACCGGGTTGTTGTTGTATTTACTCAAAACTAGTAGAAATCACTTACCTCATGCTTGGTGATGAAAATGGCACTCCAAAGTTGCTACTAAATCGGCTCCCATGGAAAATGAAGTGAAAATGAGCCAAAACTCCGATTTTTAAAAGAACACTGCCCAGGCGACCCTTCATCGCGAACGTGGAACATCCCTCGCATTCACGAAGCTTAGAAATTTCTTGCCTAGAAAATCCTTCTCCACGTTCACGACCCGCTGATCGCGTTCGCGAAAGCCAACTGCCCAGACCCATCGCGTTCGCGTAGGCCAAATGGCCTTGGGCCTAGCTCTCCCTTACCTTCCTCTTGTTCGCATAGCCTTGGTCGCGTTTGCAAAGGCTAAACTCAGCAGCCCCATTTACTCCTCTTCGCGAACGCGGCACTCCCTTCGCGTTCGTGAAAAAGGAAACCAGACACCAGTAAACAGCAGTTCCAAAATAATCCAAAATGCTCCGAAACCACCCCGAAACACACCCGAGGTCCCCGGGGTCCCGTCTAATCACACCAACCAATCCTACAAAATAACATAGACCTGCTCGAGGCCTCAAATCACATCAAACAACTTCGAAATCATGAATCACACTCCAATTAAAGCTTAATGAACTTTGGAATTTCAAATTTCTATATTCGATGTCGAAACCTATCAAATCACGTCCGATTGACCTCAAATTTTGCACACAAGTGATATTCCATTACGGACCTACTCCAACTTCTGGAATTGAATTCCGACCCTTATATCAAAAAGTCCACTTCCGGTCGAACTTTTCAAAAACCTTCAAATTTCTATCTTTAGCAAAATGACTCCAAAATGACCTATGGACCTCCGAATTTACTTCCGATCGCACTTCCATTACCAGAATCACCATATGGAGCTATTTCCAGACTCAAAATCCCAAACGGACATCGATAACACTGAAATGCACTTCAACCCAAACTTATGAAATTCCTTCAAAATGTTAACTTCCACAATAAGCGCCGAAACATTCCTGGGTCTTTCAAAACCCAGTTCGGACATACACCCAAGTCCGAAATCATCATACGAACCTGCTGGAACCTTTGAATCCCGATTCCGATGTCATTTACTCAAAAATTAAACCTTAGTCAATTCTTTCAACTTAAAGCTTCGGAAATGAGAATCCTCTTTCCAAATCAACTCCGAACTTTCCGGAATTCAATTCTGACCACGCGTACAAGTCATAATACCTGAAGTGAAGCTGCTCAAAGCCTCAAACCGCCAAACAATACGCTAGATCTTAAAACGATCGGTCGGGTCATTTCACATATATAGATGCATACTGCTACATTCTGAGAAAAAAAATTGACAAAGAAAATCGCCAACTCAAACAAGATTTGTGCACAAACCACTTTAAACTCCAATGTTTACAAGGTACCTGAAGTAGATAACAGTACGTAGCAGAACAGCAAAATCCTATTTCAAGTCTTACAGCACCCTCCACTTATCAAGTCGTTCTACCAAGGTAAATTCCTGAATACGAAAAGTTATACAATTAACATTACAAAGAAATGAGGGAAAACAGATAAATACAGGAAAATAAAAGGATTTGCCCAATCTTGGGCCATCCAGAAATAAATCATGAATGTGAGTTAACTCAAAAAACGTATCTCAAGTAGAAAAGCACACATATAGAGGAAATGATTCATTTCCGTATGCACACGGAAATAGCTTCATAGAATTGTAAGGAAAACAGTATATGTACAGGATTCTCTAATTCCTTATTCTGCACCGGGGATTTATGCACAAATTTTTATGAATTTTTGGCTGAACTCCACCATTAGAAAAAGTCTATTTTGATTGTCAAATTTACAAACAAGAAAAAAAACCAATGACATAACCCCCACATCAATTTACATACAAAATTCAAGTGTCTATTTATATAAACAAAAGAGTAGAAAGAGAGGGATGCAGCAAAAACAATTTCGAGATAATTTAAAACTTACCTAATCAAAGAGGCTGTGTAATGGTTGCTCTAGGTGTAGGTGTGTTAATCGGAGACCAAGAGAGCTGGTTTGTTGCTGCAGCTATAGCGAAGAAGAAGGATGAAGCGCCCAGATCCACTTCCAAGCAGGGATGCTAAGAAAGAGAAAGAGAAAAAGAAAGGTAAAAGAAAAAGAGAAAGAGAAAGGTGTGAGTGAGGCGGAGAAAGAGAAAAGAGTAAACAAAGTTAGGGCTTTTGCTGGAAAAGCTAATTGTGACTATTACACTTTTTTACTTAATGTAATTATCAATAAATTTCCTAAAAAGTTATTAATATTAATTAACGATATTGCTAATATAATTTTACTTACTTTAGTTGTCAATTTAAGATAATTAAACAATCACTAATCTTTGTCAATTAATTAAATTCTAGCTAACAAATTACTATGAATCAATGAAAATCAAACTAATGTTTTACAAAAACCTAACATGGCTAATCAATCATTAATATTACTTAAGGATATTACTAATACACATCTGCTTTCTAATGAATCAGTAATAGTTTTTAAGACTATACTAATATGTACTTAATTAGTATAATTATCAATGTATAGGCTAATGAATCACTAGCGTTACTTCAGGATACCACTAATATTACTTAACGATACCACTAATAAACTCCACTAACTTTAATTATCAAGCTAAAGAAAAACAATCACAAACATTTCTCACAAATATCATCAATACACTTCCATTTAGTGTATAATTATCAATGTATCGGCTAATCAATCACTAATGTTACTTATATAAGGATACCACTAGTTCACTAATTGTTAACGTTACTTACGGACACCATTAATATACTTCTACTTACAGTAATTATCAATTTAAGTTGTGTGTGTGTGTGTGTGTGTGTGATTAAGATAGCTAATGTTATATATATATAAAGCTATATTCGATATAACATTAGCTATATTCGATATAACATTAGCTATATTAAGATGTCTATATAGTATAGTATAGTATAGTATATCGAATTATAGTATAATCAAGCCTAACATTACTTAAGGATACTACCAATGCAGTTCTACTTAGGTTATTATCAATTCATACACTAATCAATCATTAACATTTCTTAAGGATACTTACATTTCTACTTAGTATTATTATCAATGTATAGACTAAAGAATCATTAAGTTACTTAAGGATATATATAAGATATANAGTATTTCCGACCGAATTCAGTCGAAAATATTGAATTATAATTATTTTGGTTGGTTAATTAAATATATATAATTTTTGTCTTGGGCGGGAAACAAAAATATTAAACTTTCCAACCGAATTCGGTAGGAAATTTGAAAAAAATTAATAAATAATTATTTTTTACATTATATAGAAGTATGAGACCAATTTTTCACCGAATTCGGATGGAAATTTAGTAAATTTTTAATAAATAATTAATTTTGTACATTATATACAGGGGAGGCTGAATAGTTGATCAATTTCCGACCGAATTTGGTATATTTTTGTACGTATGACGAAATTTGGTCGAAAATTTGGTATATGTTTAATAAATAATTATTTTTGTACGTATGACGAAATAGTTGACTAATTTTCAATTGAATTCAGTCGGAAATTTGCTAACTTTTGAATAAATAATTATTTTTGTACATAATATGCAAGGATGACCAAATATTTGACCAAGGAAATTTTATTTTTTTGCTGGCAGTCAATTTTTATTGTCTTTTGCGACCAAATACTCTTATTTCCAATCGATTTCGGTCGGAAAGCCTTGGACGAAAATCACCTAACTTGTAGTAGTGTTTGGGCCTGCTTCATGCTCTTTATAGTTTAACTTCTATTATATTTATGTGATTTATATTCAATTCTTGGTCTATAATAATTATTGTAAACAAACATTAGGGTGATTAGTGAAAAAGGGTGGGTAGTCACATACTGTGGGTAAAGTTGGGGTAGATAACATGCCTATAGGGTCCATTTCAATTCAAATGTGTTTTGTTAGATGACATGCCTATAGGGTTCATTTGGTTCAACAAATGTGTTTGTTGGATAATATACCTATATGATCTTCTTTGGTCCAAATAATTATGCTTGCTTTACTTTCACACAATTAGAAGTCATGCCTATAAGATCTAAATCAATTTTAATAATAGAGATCATGCATATAGGGTCTAAATCAGCTTTAATAGAAATCATACCTATGGGGATTTCGATTTGGTCAAATAAATTCTACTTGCTTCGCATTATGTTTAATTAGCAATCATGCTTTTAAGATCTAAAACCAGTTTAGTTTAACTTTAACTCATGTTTGTAGACTCTAAATAGGTTTAATTAACTAATATGTTCGTTTCTTTAATATGTTTTCAACGCTGCCTTAATTAATATTACTAAAGAGCATGCCTATAGGATCCAAATTGCCCGTTTAAAATTATTCACCGTCTCATTGCTTTCCTGATTGTTGACTAGATACCATGTTCATAGGACATCACTATTATACGCCTAGGCAAGCCTATAGGGCGATTAAAAATCCTGCAACTGTAAAACTATGCTCTGTTATCTGCGACTGCTCATATTCAACATGTCTAAAATCAGTAGGCAAGCTGAATAGGTCTTTGACACTTTGGTCCAAATTCAGTACAACATATTCTCTGCTCACCTAGATATCCGGTTCTAGGGCTTCTCTTAAATATCTGAAAAATGTTGTCTGAGACGTGCACTTACTTGTTCTATTTGTGGAGGTAAAGTATGAGCCATTAATTGTTCCCTCTTTAATGCAATCCTAATTGTTTTGGTTTACGCCTAGATTTTTATCCTTTAAGTACCTTAGAATGGTCTAGAACTACCTAAATTAGGGGTCCTAAATACCTCTAGGGCCACAAGGAAGGAACGAGTAGTGCACGCATAGAATATTTTTCGAGATTGCTAGAACGCTTTAGGCTATGACCAAGGGGAGAGAATTGGGTAGTAAGGATATGATGACTACGCGCTAATGTCACGTGTAGCCCCTCACTAAGGAGTGATTACCGAGCATTGTGTGGGTATGATCCTGTAGCTAACCAACCTAGGACCTCTTTTTTCCAACTCCGTTGTTTAATTAAATTTACTTTTCTTTACATATGTGCAAATTGTTCTAACCTTTTCCCTTGTTTTCATTACTTGAACCATACATGTACTTAAAATGTCAAAACATGCCTTTATTTGCGAGTATGTGTTAAAACTGTTTATTTGTTAAAATGACTAGTTCACATTGTTTAAGTTCGTCCGGGACCCACCATTGTGGACCGTGAGGGGTGCCTAAACCCTTCCTCTCAAGGTTATTTCGAGCCCTTACCCTAATCTCTGGTAATGCAAACTAGTTCATGAGTTAACTGCTCTAGGTGCCCTAACACACCAAAATCCGTTAGGTGGCGACTCTCCAAATACCCAAATTCCCAAAAGGAAACGAGTTATTTCCCCCATGAAGGTCGAAACCCATACTTCCCTGTCAAAAACGGAAGAAAGGGGGCGCAACAACATGGCGACTCTGCTGGGTATATTTTTAGGCTCTTACCATAATGAACTTTTTTTTTGTGAATTAGTCTTGAGCATGCTTTATCCCGTGCAACCTCCCCCTTATTTGGATTTAACTGCTTATTTTCGAGCATCTATGATTTCCTTTATTTTCTGAAATTGACTTGTCTCTTTGTTTTATTTTCTGTAACTGTCTTTCAATAATTTAAATACTGCATTTATTATTTCTTACGTGCAAATATTTGACAACATGCTATTTATTGTTGCATAAATCATGCTCAACATCATACTCCACTCATGTGTAACCAATCCTATAGCAATGCTTGATGAGTGTTTGCGCTCTTCCTATATATCACCCTTTAAATTCGAAAAGGCATATTTGCAGTAAAACTAGTCGATTAGTGGTGCGTTCGACGGTTCCGTGTCTTTCCCCCTCAGGTTGTCTGCTTGAGGGTCCCTGTCTAGACTTCCATAGCAACCTTACTCTGATTAATTGTACATGCATCATGGTCAAACCTAGTTGGGTTAACGCATTGTCCGCATAATAACCCTTTAAGATAAGCCTTGCCCAAAAGTCCAACGGGTTTTCCATAATCCCAACGGACGTAACCACGATTATGTGCATTAATTTGGAGAAATAAGTGCCAATATGCTAATCATTACCGTATAAATAGCCAAACCTGGAGGGGAAAAGGGCCTAACTCTCTTTGTTATGCAAAAAATAAGGCAAGAGGTCCTCAGATTCGGTATGGTTAGCGCACCCTCACTCTTGCTAGACTGGTGGAGGGATATTCCTTCATGTGAAACGAGTCTTAGGAAACTTGCTTTCTCTATTGGACCTTCAGCTCAACAAAATATTGATCGAGGCTGCAACTATGTTTTGGGACAAGGAAAGGGCTTTGTTCCGTTTTGGGAACATAGAAATGACACCCCTTCTAGAATAAATAGGAGGATTTGCTGGGTTGCCTTGGGATAGCCCTAATCTGTTAGCACCTGAAAATTGCACTGCTAGGGGACTTCTGAAGACGATGGGGCTCAAGAAGAATGACAACTTGAATTACCTAAAGGACTCCTACATACCTTTTGAGTTCCTTTATGAAAGATACGGTCACAGCAGCTCCTACCGTATTTTTGATGATGAGTTCTCAATCTCTTCTTTAGGTTGGATTCATCGTAGAGTCTTCGTATTTATTATGTGTTTCTTAGGCATGCTGGTATTCCCAATCCAAGAGGATAGAATCCATACTAGGATGGTCATGGTAACCAAAACTCTGATGGACGGGATCGAGGGGGAGACATAAACTATCGTTCCTATGATCATTGCAGACATGTACCGGGCATTGGAGCGATGCCAGAAGGGGTTCAGGTTCTTTGAGGGTTGCAACTTTCTGCTACAGGACTGGTTGTTGGAACATCTCCAAAAGGGACAATACCATCAAGAATTTTTGCGAAGGCCGTGGAATGACCACATAGCCTTCAATCATCTTAAAAGAATGAACTATATTCCAGAAATGTTTGTTCATCCAGAGGACGCTGCAGGATGGGTATGAATTTTCGAAAATTTGACCGTGGATCAAGTCCAGTGGATGTTCGAGTGGTTCCTTACCGATGAATTCATCATCAGATCCATAGATTTTCCACACTTGGTGTTGATTGGGTTGAGGAGCATATACCCTTACG